CTTCCTCTGCCTTTCTTGGCATCGCACTCCTTGTTGGTCTATGCAGCAGTCTCTACGGCAATCAGCTCAGTGGCTCAATTCCTGCTGAGATTGGTAACATGACAAAACTAGTACTCCTGTAAGCCCATCACTGCTCTTTTCTCCCCCTCATCTGAGAATCTGTTCGTTTTTCTGATCTTCCTGCTTGTTCCCTATTCATATTCTACTGGTGAGCGGAAAACTGAACCGGGCCTGTTTTGTTTCGCATTTTAGTTCGAGGCAAACCAGGTCAGGCAGGGTTCGACTTGAACCGGTTGATGTTCCAGCTGTGAATGTCGTGCATTGCATCAAACTGGTTCAGCACGTCGAATGGGCAGCACCTCGACTGGTACCTGGTCGGCTCTGGACCACCCGTGCGAATTAACTGGAGTTCCAGGGCAGATTGGAGTCCACGTTTGCACTAGATCATTCTCTTGTATGGTCGAATGGATTTCATCCCGACCATCAGATCCAAACTGTTTACGACATGTGTGGTACTCTGACCAACCACATGCAAGTGCTAGAGATTGATGTGGTTTTCTACTTTGAGTTTAGGTTCTCCTTGATGTGGTCACAAATGTGCCGTTTTAAGCTTCTGCGTAGGCATCAGGAACAGCTGAACCAGAACCTGTTTCGTTCTGGCCCACTCGACCCACAACCAGTTTAAATTATACCAGAACCGGTTCGGATGACCTTACTAGTCGAACCAGTACAGTTTGACCTATAAGGAACGAACCATGAAGTGACCCAGGGACGACCCAGGTACCGGTTCAATCGAAACATGTTCAGCTTCGAATGAGGAAAACCAGAGCCTGATTTTGTTCAATTCTTGCGCATGCATCCGAAAAGGGAGTCGGTGACTAGAGAAGAAGTTGAGCTGGGTAAAACATCAAGATACTTTGTTAGACCTGAGCAACTACTGAAATTGGAACCCAAAGTGGTTCGTTCCAAACTGGGCCAAGCTGTTGTAAAAACTAAACTGAACCACTTTGCTTTAGTTTGAACCGTTGTACGCATGTGAGAGCCGAACATAGCAAGATACAAGTCGAACCCGAACTGAACCTATGTTCGGTTCTGTGTTCATCTCTACAAGGTTATAGAGCAGGCTGGGGTGAAACCCCAACTGAAACTAGGGCGTGTTCAGCCTATGACTAGGGCGTGTTCAGCCTATGACTAGGGCGTGTTCAGCCTATGATAATAACAAGAAACAGAGCCTAATCTGAAGCTGAGATAAACCTAGATTTAACAATGGCCGGAAATTTTGTATATGGGAATCACAAATATTGAGCAAACGCTAGCCTGCATCAACCATCGCTTCTGTATATGGGCAGTCCTGCTAGTCCTCCTCACTGCACGTCTGTAGGCATGAGCAGGCAGACAAACTTGGTTCGGCCCATGTCGGGCCGAACCGGCAAAGTTAGATTGGTGGCTTGCCGAAAGTCGAACCGGGCCGGTTTGTCCCAAGCCGTGGCCCAACGTGAACTTAGCAAGTGAATGAAATATTACATGCAGTAAAGACATCACATAATTATTTCTTTTGGTGACAAATTCTTTTTCGTGTTTCCGGAAGTATCGCCCGTTCCTGCCTCGTCGGAGCGAGCAAGCTTTGCTTGCAATGGAGTCTAAAACTTTTGACTCAAATGGTAGAATGGTTGCTTTTAGTAAGCAAATCGAGCACATGAATCTAGCACTTCAACTGAGCGCCATTTTTCTGTATCACCATCACGCCTCCAGCCACAGTCGGTGCCTACTCAGCCTGTCAATCGTAAGGACCGCTCACCTTACTCTACTTGGTACTCCATCCGCCCTCATTCTCCCGTTCTATCCTTCCCATTTCTCCTCTAACATCCTTCCGTCTCACCACCATGGCCACCAGGTCACTCGCCTTCAACCAGCTGCATGGGAGCATACCGAGCACTCTCACCCAGCTCACGCAGCTCACGTACTTGTACGACGCACTCATTACACCACTCTGTTTCGCTTGCCCCCACACTCCCTCCATTTCTGTTGCATTATTGATCTTCCCTATTTGGTGATGGACATGCATGATTTTTGCTTACTTCTTCCTCTGCATCTCTTGCAATCGCACTCCTTGTTCCTCCATGCAGGAGTTTCCATCACAATGAGCTTACTGGCTCCATTTCTGCTGAGATTGGAAACATGACAAAACTAGTGTCTCTGTAAGCTAGTCCCTGCCCTTCTCTCCCCTTCATGTGCCAACCTCTTCCTATTTTGTTTCCAAATTAGGTTTGAATTGATTCATTAGTTCCAGCTGTGCTTTCTTTTTTTATCTTCCTGCTTGTTTCGCCCTATCATCCAATAGAGTTGAGGCTCATGTTGAGCAGAAAACCGAATTGGGGCCCTTTTCTCACCTTATGTTTCGTGGGAAACTGGGTCAGGGTTTGACTTGAACGAGTGGATGTTCCAGCTGTGAATGTCATACATTACATCAAACTGTTTAAGCACGTCGAATGGCGACTGTGTCCCATGCGGTTCTGGTCCACAAGTGCGTTTTTTTAAGAGCAGAATTGCAGTTCAAGTTCGTGTCAAATCGTTCTCTTGTATGGTCGAACTGAACCAGCACCACACACAGTTTGGTTTGAATTGATTTCACCTCAGCCATCAGAGCCAATTTGTTTGACACATGTGTGTCACTCCGGCGAAACAAAATGCAAGTGCTGGAGATTTATGAAAAATCATACGCTGAATATGTTTTTCCTTTCTGTTATCACAATGTGCAGTTTGTATCTTCTTAGTAGGCATCAGCAACAACCGAACGAGAGCCTGTTCAGTTTGTAGAAAGTGGATCAGTGAACTTCAGTGCACAATGAGAAGAAGAATATATCCTTAGTAGGAAGTTGGTACAAGCCTTACAGGCTAGAGCAATTTCCTTGTCCAAGGATGTGAAGTAGGAAGCCACATATATATGGCTGAACTCTTGAGGCTGGCTGCAGCACCTCAAAGCTGAGGGCTAGGCTAGCCAACCTTCTCAAGCTAGCAAGTGAGGCCTCATGTTGCACATGTGGGACAGGCTTGAACAACAGCCCACATGGCAGCATATGGCACACCATAGGGGCCAGCAAGGTGAGCATGGGATGAGTGGACACGTGGCAATGCCAGCTGTGACCGCACTTCACTGTGGGTGAGTGTGGTGGAGTATGGACTTTTCATGGTGAGCATAATACAAGGGAAATGTGCAGCTGTTGAGAGTTGAACCCACGACCTATAAGTTCAAAAGTGAAAAACTACCCACTGGGACATACGTGCTTCGCAAAATAGTTATTGACCATTAACGTCTGAGAGTCGAACTAAGAAACTCCTATTCCATGATTCCATCCTATTTGATTCAGGTCATCAAGACCAGAGCTGGTTCTGTTTCGGTTCATTTCATGCCTCTTAATTGGGAGATTAGGTGACAATAGAAAGGGTTGAGCTGTGTAAAACATCAAGATACACGGTTACCCAAATGAGTTTGTTCCGAGCTGGTTCGAACTGTTGTTGAAACTGAATTGAATCAGTTCGGTTCGGATCGAACGGTTGTTGGCATGTCAGCAGTTCAAGGTTTGCTTTTAAAATTCGAACACCGCAACGTACGAGCGAGTCGAACCCGAACTGAACATTTGGCCCTTCACTCCTAATCCTCTCCTCTCCTCTGTAGGAGGGATGAGCACAAGGACGAACTTGCTTCTGCCCAGGTTAGGCCAAAATGGCATAGTTAGGATTTTGGTGGCTTTGTGAAAGTCGAGCCGGGCCGGTTAGTCCCGAGCCGCAGCCCAACGCGAACCTATGACATAATTCAAGCAGATAAATTTTGTAAGCAAATCTAGCATTTGAATTGTGCACCATTCTTCTGTATCACCATCATGCCTCTAGCCACGGTTCGTGTCTGCTCAATGTTAACGACCACGCCCTTACCCAACATGGTACTCGATCCATCCTCATTCTCCTGTTGTATCCTTCCCATAGCTCCAATAACATCCTTCCGTCTCACCACCATGGCCACCAGGTCTCTCGCCTTCAACCAGCTGTATGGGAGCGTACCAAGCACTCTCACCCAGCTCACGCAGCTCACATTCTTGTACGACCCATGCATCACCACTCTTTTTCGATTGCTCTGGTGGTCTCCCTCTTGTACATTTGTTTCTAATCACAGATGAACTCTCATTGCACTTCCAAATCCATGATTTCCGCAAGCCACAAGAGCACCTACCGTACCATGCATGCTCATGTTGCATGCATTCTGATTGCACTTTCTCGCCTCGCTGCCTTGCCATGCATGCCCTCTAATCACAATGGTCAATCAGATTTATTCTGGAGAAATAACGAGAAAGTTCAAAGGTGAGGTTAAATAACATTGAACACTACCCAGTAGGGATGAGCACCGGACGAACATCGAACATGTTCGTCCGAACTGTGACGAACACACTCAGTGGGCGAACCGCACATGTTCGGTTCGCCCGAACACTTTTTACTGAAATCTTATGTTCGAGGTTCGCCCACTGTGGGCGAACCTACTAAAGGGGGCCGAACATCAGAGATATTTGCCCCCGAACATGTTTGGGCAAACCAAACGCACGTTCGCCATTTTGCTCATCCCTACTACCCAGTACCACTTAAGAGTCAAACCGGTCAATACAACACCACATGAATGCCCGTGGTTGCCGTGCCAGTGCCCTGTATACCCATCTTCACATCCCTCGGATTGCTTCCTCGTTTCTCTCTTCCTCATTTCTTGGATTTCTCTCTTCCCTGGTCTCAATCAACCAACCATCCTCGTATGCCTCTTCTTCCTCTCCCTCTTCTGTATCCTTCTCTTCCACCTCACCTTCCCCTTCTGTTCCCCTTCTTGTTGACTCCTCATTCTTCTCCTCCGCCAGCCCGTGTCTATCCCCTTCTGCTCCCCCATCCGTATACCCATTCTTCTCAACAACCCCTCACATCTTCGCTCCCTGCACTCCACTTTTTTTTATCCAGATGCGTTGATGCGATCCCCACCCATCCTTCTCCCGCCACTTGCACTTGCACCTCCTTCCTGCAGAGACCTCTCTCACAACTACCTCACAGGCCGCGCACTGAAGCCCCTTGCTGCGCGAACCCTGGATCTCTCCAGCAACTTCCTCTCGGGCCCTCTGCCCGACGGGGCATGCCAGCCTCGCTCTTTTGATGCCAACTGCTTCACGTTGCCGCTTGGCTGTGCCTTGGTGCCCCAGCGACAGGAGGCAGCGTGCAATGCATTCTGTGGCGTCTCCTCTGCTGCTGGTGCTACTGCTGCTGCTGCGTGTGGAGGACATGGGGTGTGCTATCCAGAGGGGGCTAGCTTGGCACCCACATGTCTGTGTGATGCGGGATTCGTGCAATGTGGAGGGATCACCTGTGTTGCTCAAGGTAGGGGACACCACTTGAAGTCTATGCAACATGACCACATACAGATTTACAGAATGGTGGGACGTCCAACTCACATGAATTTGTTGCTCGAAATTATTAGGTATCACCCAATCATACCTCCATATTGTTAGACATAGACTTCCACCTCATGTTTTGTACTTGCCCTTTTAATGTCCTACTTTAGTGTAGTCGTTTTTGTGGTTGGGTGTAGGGATGAGCAAGGGGCGAACACCAACATGTTCGTGTTCGCCCCTACACGAACAAATCCGTTTGCCGAACCGAATACTGTTCGGCTCGGCGAACACTTTTAGCAAAAACAAGTGTTCGCCGTCTGCCTGTGAAGGCGTGTTCGGGCCAACCCCGAACACGTTCGTGTTCGTCGCGGGGCAAATTGCAGCAGCGGCCCGAACTCGTGTTCGGGCGAACCTCGAACACTGTTTGGCAAACACGCAAAAAAAACAAACCTGTTCGGTTCGCGGTGTTCGTTTTTTTGCTCAACCCTAGTTGGGTGTTACACCAATATCCCAACCCAACCCAAATGTGATGTGATCAACTGAAACCTTCAACCCCACCACCAGTGAAAGGTTTCAGCCGATCTCATTGGGAATTGGGCCCCGATCCCTGCCCATCTGTTCCCACCCATGTTCTAATGTACTTCGGATCCTTGAGCTCCTTTATTGAATCAATTAATTTTCGCTCAAGTTCTTACACATATCCCACTCCTATCCATCTGTCTGTCATGTTTGTGCAGGCCATAACAAAAACTACTCAAGCAGTCAGGCGGTTCTCCCACCAGCATCTATACTCACCTGGGGGGGGCAGCGCGAGACGAAGGGGAGCTTCACCGCAGAGCCGGTGAAGTTGTTTGTGTACGAGGCGAACCAGGGACTGTCGCGGTGTGGGCTGCAGCTCGCCTTTCACGCCAACTTCACCTTCTCCCTCTCGCCTCGATCTGGCCGCGTGGGCTTCAACGGCTTAGCGTTTGTCATCTCGGCAACGGACCAGGTGGGGAGTGGCGCTGGAGTGGGGTATGGTGGAATGGACACACGGAGCATGGCGGTGGAGTTTGACACTCTGCGGAACAAGGAGCATGGCGACATGAGCAGCCAGCATGTGGGGCTGAACGTTCGAGGCGAGGACAAATCGCTAGTCGCTGTGAGGTCACCCTTCCGTCTGAGCAACAGGAAGGCGTTCACGGCGTGGGTGGACTATGAGCCAGGAGACCCCGGTACCATCCAGGTCTTCCTGGCTGACTCGCAGGAGAAGCCGCAGCAGGCGGTGCTGGAGTGGAGGCTGGCGCTGTGTGAGGTGCTGCAGGGTGCAGTTGATCAGCCCGCCTTCTTCTTTGGCTTCGTGGCGTCCACCACTGTGAAGCCGTTTCAGCGGCACGTCATTCTTAAATCGACAGTGGATACAGGTAAGCAGTGTGTGCTTTCAGGTGGATGGGCTTGGCATGGTGGTTAACAACATGGGAGGTCCAGTCCGGAGGATGTAAAGGAGGTGGCAACGAGACTGAGGGAGTGGATGGTGATGTAAGGAATTGTGACGATGGGGGTAGTGCTGGTGAAGATGAGGTTAGCTCTGGCGCTGATGAGGTTACCGATGGAGGTCAATTTGAAAGTGACTGCAATTTGATATGAGTCACACATTTTCTGAATCTTACATGGTGTCTTCTATCTTCGCTCTGATTGCTTTGTCTTTGTGCAGGCCTTCCTGCTTCTCCCCGAACAGTCACACGTAATCCAGGTGAGACATCGTCTCCCATGCTTCTGTTGCGACTCTCGCAACTACCTCTGTTAGAAGGACAAAAGAGGCAAGCATTGTGACAGTGTGATTGTTATTATCATCTTATAATGTGTACAGACATTTCCCCTCGCGTTTGTTTATCTTTCCACATGTATCCTTCACTCTCCGTCTTACCATGTTTTTCTTTTCTTCTGGAGGTTCTTTGTACTAAATACTCATGCATTCAGTACATTGGGTGTAAGAAAGAAGAATAACCTAGACAGTGTGGTTGATGGTGCACAGCACGGTGCGCATAAATCTCAAGCGAACTGGAAAATGGAGAAGCTGAGCAACTTCGTTTACGGAATTAGGGAAGCGATTTCTTGATGAGAGACATGCATGAACTATGCTTGAACGGAGTGCTTGTTTGGTGGATGTGAAACAAGTTTGTAATGAGCACTTGAGGTGCAGATGTTATTGGATATGGGTTGCAGTCCAGCAACGTTAGGGCAATGCACCACAGACAATTGTACCCATTATCCCCCTTCAAGTTCTGCCTTGTAACAACTTGTCACTTTCACATCACATTCCTTTCTCTATAATTCAACTTCTGAGCATGTCACAGCCTATGGCCTGCAGCTATCAACGAACACGTACATGCCAGCACGGGCCAGCCCCTTCCCGCGCTACGTGAGTGCGGACTACCGTGTTGCGCCCAGCAAGCAGGACTCGTGGTTCATCAGCGACTTCCACTCCTGGGACTCCGTGCCCTTCCTCGGCTGGCCTGTCAAGGACCAAAAAGACTGCAGTGAGTGAAACCGATGGGAACCTGTGGAAGCATGTTGGAGCCAATAGGTGGGCTGGTGTGTCTTGGTTAGTTTTTACGATCTGTGTCTTTCCGTTTGTTGTTCTGCTGCTGGTCGCTTTCATGTTTCAACCATCGCACAATAATCAGGGCAATATGTGTCTCCATTTTTCAGCCATCATCGCATGAGCATCAATTATTCACGGAACAATTTTCATCATACGCAGGTGCTTGTTGGGCGTTTGCGCTGGTGGCGAGTGTGGAAGCGGCATACGGCATTGCCTTGAATGCAGAGGCGCCGCAGCTGTCAGTGGAGTCACTCTTTGCAGCCATGGGGCTCACCTCCGAAGCTGACAAGTGCAGCACGGGGGGCTCCCCCACCGAGGCGTTGGAAAGGCTTCTCATGCTGCCTCGCGGTGGAGTCACAGAGGTTGGAGCGCCTGTGAGTAGTGTGGTGAAGTGTGAGCCTAGAATGTATTGTTTTTTATGAGAGATTTTGGGAACCTTGAAGTGGTGTGTGTGATGTTGAGAGAGTTGCGACTATACTACAACTTGTGATATGAGGACTCTCTCCGAGTCGTTCAAGCCACTGGCGTTGGTTGCAACTTATAACCGTGTTGAACTAATTATCTGTTAGCATACGAGTACCCCTGAAGTCTCATACACAGTAATAGATTGGTTGGGTCAGGGCCAAGAGACCAAGTTATGACAGCAAGAGGCAAACAGCTTCTACCACGCATGGTCAACGGTCAGCTCAGGTCGGCTTGCCACGAGCTGAAAGAGGGCCGAGCCAGACTTGAAGGTTCCATAAAACATTCAGAAGGCAACGTATAGAGAACAGAATGTATATTCTAATCATTTTGCAATGCACCCAACATTCTAGTGCTTCCTATGATTGGCCGGAACCATTTTCAGCAAGCAAACTTTCGTTTTCCATCGTGACCTCCTTTTATGTTTCTCTCTTCCTTCCTATCTGTTATTAAATCCCCTTTGAAATGTTCATCTTCAGAAAAAGGAGTACCCTATTCATGGCTTTGAGCGCACAAGGTTCAAGGGGTTTGTGGGGCTCATGCTGGCAGTGCGTCGACAGCCAGTGGTGGTTCACATCGAGGCTTCTGCTCTGAGTTTTGCACAATTTGACGGGGTGGGTGTTTCTTGCGTTGACCCTTCATGCTGTGCACAAGTTGTCAAGAGTTATACAGAAGTTGTTCGCATTACATGTATGCCAAAAACCAACCCAGGGTTGTACACAAGGTGTTACCAGCATTAAGCTGTATGCCTGAAGTGGTTCTTTGTTGTTTCTTGTTCCATCCTTCCATAGCTGTTTTGGTGCCCCCTTTCTCTTCAGACCTTCAAGTACAAGAATCCTGGCTGCTATACCGGCAGACTGGACCACGTTGTACTCGTTATCGGATACTTCATCTTGAGAAATGACGGCAGCCAAAATCGCATAGCGCCTCCATTTTGGATCATCCGCAACTCGTGGGGAGTGGAGTGGGGTGACCGGGGCCACATGCGCATGGACATTCAGGGAGGGGATGGCGTGTGTGGCATCAACGTGCTGCCTGGCATCTACCCCATTGTCAAGAGTGAGGCATTTATCTCGAGGTGTTGAGTGGGGCATCTACCTCGAGGTGTTGAGTGAGGCATCTACCTCGAGGTGTTGAGTGAGGCATCTACCTCGAGGTGTTGAGTGAGGCATCTACCTCATTGTCTTAAATGGGGCACCTTCCCCCATCGCTCTCTCCATATCTCAGTCCCCCCCTTCCAGTCCGTCACAGGGTGTTTGGGGCAGGGTGAAATTCACAGAAGAATTATGTAATTAGTCTTTAGTCTAGGGGATGGCCTCAAATTTGGTATATGGAACACAGTGGAATGGAGGCATTGTCAACAGAGAGAAGAGAGTGTGAGCCAGTCACCAATCGCCAACTCACGGTTTCCAGATTTCACACCTGCCATTTGCCTAAGGCTTGCCTTTTCCTGCCCACGGTCGTTTTCAATGAGTTTGCACTCGCGCCTGTTTCTACACCTCCTGCTCCTATCTGTACCCCCCTCCAGTCCCCAAGGACCCTTGCGGCCAGAGGAGCTTCAAGGGTGATGGTGACCTGCAGCCCAGCATGAATCCGTGTGGGCGGTTCACATGCCGGGCTAACTTACGGAACAACAGCAATTCGTGTGACTGTTCCATTCCAAACGAATCTAAGCAGCCATTTGTTCAAGTTGCAAACGGATACGGCTCTCAAACGTGTGCTTACTGTAAGTTGTTTGGTTCAAGTTCTCAAATGAGAACTTTTATTCATGGCCCTTGTCAGAACAATGGCCGTTTTCGGAACAATGGGCTTGTTTGATCTTCAGATATTCTTTCAACCAAGTCCCTGTCTATATCTTTTCGTAGTTTTATCTCTCCTTCCCCCTACTCTTCCCATTGCTCCCAACACATGTATCTCTCTCACCACTGTGCTCCACAATTGTGTTTATGTCGCTTGGCAGTGGATGTGTGTGGGTCTGACTTGAAGAACCCATGCTACGTCGGCGCGTGCATCAACGACGGCAAGGGCTCCTACTCCTGCATCTGCCCCCCCAACTACGTTGAAAGCACAACCATTGACAGCTTCCCCACCTGCGACCCAGGTGCTGCTGGCTTGGCATCGTTTGTAAGAGGGTCGCTACTTCTTTCAGTTCTTCTTGAATCATACATATGTTGGGGTCATTACAACCCCTGCAAACTTCTTCTACTGTCAATTCATGTGATGCACACACAACTAGTAGTTTTGTTTTCTTGATTACTTTCTTATGCGTGTGTTCTCCTGCTTTCACATTCGTCGCTTTCCAGCCAACGTCACAGCCAGCACCCTGGCCGTGAGTGGGAGCAACTGGTGGTGCCCCGATGTCCTCTCTATTGTGGGCCTCTCACTTCCCCAATTCACACAGCGGAATCAGGTAACCAATGGAGATGGGGGGCCTGGAAGAGTGGATTGGCAGGCACGGCTAGTGGTTGATTCCTCACAATGGAATTCTAAGTCCCATAGCTGCTTATCTACAGTTTATGAAATCGTCAATGTGTGAAATGAAAACAATCACAAAAGCAATATTGCTACACCTTCACTTCATAGCTTTGTCTTCCTGTGTCCATTTACTTCCTGATTCGTCATGCAAACGATGTGCCATCCCCTGAAGTGGTGACTAAAGAATCGTGTGTGCTCCTCATTGCAGGGCATTGACTGCAATCAGTCTTTGCCTCGTAACATGGTGCTTCAGCTAGGAAATCCTCTCCTCGTTCCCTGCACTGCGTTCTTCTACACCCTCAGTGTGAGAGTTAGCCCTTATTTTTATTCGTTGAATGGAATCTCATCATATTATTTTTCTATGTTTCTCCACTCTGCTTTGCTTAGCTCCGCAAGACTGTCGCATAGTAAAGCTGCGCTCCATTCACCTCAGGCATCTGTGCCTTCTCTCCCGTTGTTCAACCCTCCAGGGCGACACATGCTGGTCCATCAGTGCACAGCTGTTCCTCACCACCAGCAACCTCACGGCACTCAATCCCGGCCTTGACTGCTCTGAGCCCATCAAGGCGGGCCGCTCTCTGTGCGTCGAGCGGAACGCCACCTTCGCCTTCACTGTGCCTCGGTGCCTACGTTACGGCGTGCTTACAGCACAGGACACGTGTGAACGCCTGCTGCTGGAGGCGGGGAGTGAGGACGACCCAACAGGGGCTGGGAACGTGAACGCTGTGCGCTGGGCTGAGCTGTACCGCAACAATCCCGGCCTCATCTGCTCGAATGTCATCCCGGTCTCCGCCTCTGCTGTTGGCAGCAACACTGGCGTACAGGTGAGAGGTGGAGGTGAACTGGGTTGGGGGCGCAAGAGATGGGAGGGAAATGGAGGGAAGATTGGTGGATGGACCAAACGTATACTTGATGGATGTTGGGGCAAGGAGTCATTTCTCATATGCCAGCGTGGTGTTTTTTCCAACTATTTGCCCTTGATTGCCCGTTGAGTGTGTGCCTATCTCTTTCTTTCAATACATGTTTTTTTTTTCATTTCTTGTGTTCGTAAATGTCGCCGTTCAGATTTGCCTAAGGGCAGAGTATTGGTCATTCGTCGTTGGCATATGCAAGAAGGGCAGGCAAAAGCCAGTGTCACCATCATTGACATGCTCAGGTGCTTACAGTTTTTATGGTGGAGCTGCCAATGGAGCAATTTCAAAATATTACGTGTACAATGAGAAGAAGTGTGTTGGGAGTGTAGGGTCCAAGTTCATTTGTGTGCCATGATTAGGAGCTCAGGCAGGTATGGAACGGGGACTACGTTTGGATTTCGACTTCTCTGATTAGCAGTGTAGCCTTTTCAGAAACCGTGATTATCAGCCTACGTTGTTGAGGTTACTTTTAATCATGTGCAACCACCGTTAAAATATATATATAATATTTTTAAAATACAAAAAAACCTGAGTCAATGGTGTAGTTTTTTTTTTTTTTTGCCATGATTGTACTGTAGGCAGTTGACTATGCGCTGGCAGCAAACCCCAGCATGTTTCCTGATTTTCCCTGTCAAGAGAAACGATGACGCGGGTGGGCTACAAGTAGACACGGAGGTGGGGGGTGTTCTGATGAGAAGTTTGAACTTGCCAGGATCACCTCAGGAAGGTTTGCACGGAGATAATTGCAGCGGAACTAATGACCTTAGAACAAAGTGAATATAGAACGAATGAAGCGGCTATACCCAGGCCCCAAAATATCAGGGTAAAATACCCTGATTGCCCTGACTGGCGGCCGCTTTTTTTGGGGTTACCCTGACCCAGTCAGGCTCCCGGATTTCTTACCCTGACTCATAAAGAGTTTGATTTTTTTGTACCCTTATGAAATCCGAGCTATAGATTGGTTCCCCTGACTTTCATCGGTGTTTTAGTCATTTTACACTGATACCGAGACTTTCGTAACGAGAATATGGTGGACGTTGCGCAAAATGGCGCCAGGAAACAGTGCACCCTAATTTTTTCCTAATGCGACCATTGAACCCGCGACCTTGCCTCTCACAACTTCTCTGGCCTAGTGAAACACTTCAACTTGCAATGTTCTTATTCGTTTTAAATGTGGATGTGTGAACAAAACTAGAGTACAATTTTTTTTACCCTATTTCCATCAGGGTACGAAATGTTTTACCCTAGGAGTCGGGGTTGGCCCACCCTGGAACTCTGATTTGACAGGGTGGGCCAAAACCAATTTTGGGCGCTGGTTATACCGTAATCCCGCGTATATAAGACCCTATGGGTATTATGATAATCACGTCTAAACAGGCTGGGGGGTATAATTAAATGGTATATTTTTTAGAAGACCCGGGTCTGTTCACATTGACATTTATAAGAATGCACGATGTGTTGGGTGCAAAATATTATTTTTGCACAGCAACCAGCCGTCTGCATGACGTTATGCATTTTGTGTGTGTTTTGTGTGCATTCGTTTTCGTCGACGAACATGTGCGTTCATGAAAGTGTGTTGCATTAATGCTTTATGTTTCATGAATGTCGAGTTTTTTCATGAAGATTGGTTGTGAGTTTCCAGTGTGTTTGTGTTTGGGGCTCGATAGTTTGACCAGCCCATTGACCACTTCGCGCTGGTCAACTAAAAAGTGCACGAAGTCACGACCCGCGCGTGGGGTCCTGACACACGTGTGTGTCCTGACAGAAAATGCGCGGGTGTCGCCACTGTCTCGATCGTGTACTGTACGCACGATCGATACAGAACGAAGCGACATGCTCGCCTCGTCACATGTAGGACAACGCACGATCGCGTCAGCGATTGTTTTGTCCTGCACGACCGAGAAATATCTCGGTCGTGATGAGGGGCACGTGGGGCACTCGAGATTGCGGTTGACTAACAGGATTTTGCGCTGACTTGGCTTGCACGAAAATTCGCCAGAAAGTCTTGCTGCTTTGCGCCATTATTTCGACAGAGGTACAAAACGGTAAAGTCCGTTTGTAACTGAAGAAAACGGTAAACCCACACGAGTGACCATGATTTGTACACGAGCGATCATGAATGTTCACGAGAGGAGTCAGCAGTAGAATTTGGCAGCAGTGCAGTGGAAGACAGTTATTCTACAGAGGCAGATCAATGAGAAAACTGAAACGAGAATGAAATGACTAAGGGAAAGTTGGGTACCAATACAAACCCTAGAAAGTTGTACCCCATATGTGCTACCCCACTATAGCCTACGTTACATATGTCATATAAATCTGACACACCCCCATAGGCAAAGTGGGGGAGAACAAGGGGTCATAAGACCAGTCAAGCAAAGCAAAGCAAAGCAAGCTCAGGGTGGATCACAAAGTCACCACACATTCCGAGCACAAGGGCCACAAGGCCAGCTCACATGCAAGATTACATATATATAAGGCTAGACAAGCAAGAGTAGGAGTATATATATATGTAACAGTACAAACAAGGTCAAGGGGTGAGCAAGTGAGGCAAGGTAGGCACAAGACCCAGCTGAGTACAGAAGCGCTAATGATCACAAGGCGCAAGTGCCTTGGTGAAGATATCAGCAGTGTTGGCCTCAGAGGCCACGTACGCAATCCGCACCTGACCATGCTGCTGTAGCTCACGAGGAAGTAGCGGAGAGCAATGTGCTTTGTTCTGTGCTCCACTCTCTGCTCTCGACACAAGGCCAGCATGGCCTTGTTGTCTACGTACAGCACTGGAGGAGAACGAGGCGGCTCTCCGAGGTCAGTCAGCAGGTAGGTGAGCCAGTGAAGCTCCTATGCAACCATGGCTCCTGCGTAGATCTCAGCCTCACAACTGGAGTCGAGAAGAGAAGACGAGCGGGTAGCCCGCCACGAAATAGAGCCGGAACCAAGGTTGAAGGTGTAACCCTGTGACGACTGTTGAAATCACTAAACAGGAATGTATGAACTAGCAGTGAAATCAGTACAAGTACCTAACCCTAGAATTCTGTACCCCCTATAGGCTAACCCATAGTAGCCTAAACTAACACAACATATATAATGTTTGACACACCCCCATAGGCAAAGTGGCGGAGAACTAGGGGTAACAAGACCAGTCAAGGCAAAGCAAGGCAAAACAAGCTCAGAGTGGATCTCAAGGATACCACACAAATTCCGAGCACAAGCAAGTGGTCAAAAGACCAGTTCACATGCAGGTTTATAATAGAGCAAAAGGTACAATGATCACAACCTAACAAGAGTAAACATGCAGGTATATATATAGAGATCACAGTACAAACAGACTCAAGAAGTAAGCAAGTGAGGTCCAGTAGGCACAAGGCCTAGAAGAGTGCAAAAGCGATGATGGTCACAAGGCTGAAGCGCCTTGGTGAACACATCAGTAGTGTTGGCCTCAGAGGCCACGTAACGCAGGCGAAGCTGACCACGCTGCTGTAGCTCTCGAGCAAGGAAGTAACGCAGAGCAATGTGCTTCGTTCTGTGCTCCAGTCTGTGCTCCTCACACAAGGCAATGGCTGCCTTGTTGTCGACGTACAGCACTGGAGGAGAACGAGGCTGCTCTCCAAGGTCGGTCAGCAAGTAGGTGAGCCAGCGTAGCTCCTGGGCCGCCATGGCTGTGGCGTAGATCTCAGCCTCGCAACTGGAGCTGAGAACAGAAGAAGAGCGAGTAGAACGCCAAGAAACAGAACCAGAGCCAAGACTGAAAGAGAAACCCTGAGACGACCGCTGAGTAGCCTGGTCGTCAGCCGAAGAAGCGTCTGAGTGCCCAGTGAGAACAACTGGGACTCGCCCTCCAAGCACTAGCCCCATGCCCGACGTACTGCACAAGTAGCGCAACACCCTCTTAGCTGCATCCACGTGCTCCTTCCGGTGACGGCCGGGAGCGACATAGCGTGCAAGAATGCTGAGAGGGTATGCAAGGTCTGGTCGAGTGCAGGTCATCAGGTACATGAGGCAACCTACAAGCTCTGGTTACGGGCCACTCAGCTCTACGGACTCATCCGAAGGCAGAGCTAAGAGCGAGTGACCGGTAGGCAGAGGAGTGGGCTGAGGCGAGGAGTACGTGAAGCGGAAGCGCTGAAGGACCTGCTGCACCATGTGTGACTGAGTCAAGGTGATGGTGTGGCGTGCTCTGTCCTAGGTGATCCGCAAGCCAAGATAGCTTGTCAGTTCACCCAGGTCTGTGCACACGTGTCTCTTCTACAGCTCCGACTTCACGTGGGCGAGTGCCACAGTGTCAGCAGTAGCAAAGACCAAGTCGTCAACGTACACAAGGACGTAGAACGGCGGCAGTGAGGTGTCGGTGCGTAGAAACAGCGACGGGTCAGCAGTAGAAGACGCGAACCCAAGAGCCGCAAGCGTAGTCCTCAGTGTGTCGTGCCACTCACGAGGCGCCTGGCGGAGATCGTAGACTGGCCGTGGGAGGCTCCACTGGGTACCAGGAGGGAACGACCCAGTGAAGCCAGGTGGACGGCGCAGCCAGATCTCCTTGTGCAGGCTGCCTTGCGGGAAAGCAGTGCTGAAGTCAAGCGAGTGGAGCTCGTAGTCACGCTGAGCGGCGACGTGCAGCAGAACCCGAAGAGTGGTCATCTTTGGGGTCGGGGAGAAGGTCTGGAAGAAGTCAACTCCCTCTCGCTGACTGAAGCCTCGTGCAACGTAACGCGCCTTGAAGACAGGCGTAGAGCCCGGCGGCCGCTTCACCCTGAAAATCCACATGCCACTGACGATGTTCGCCCCAGGTGGGGGAACCTCGTCGACGTAGGTGCCTATGAACTTCCAGGAAGCCATCTCTGTGTCCATGGCTGACTGCCACTGAGAGGAGTAGGGACCGGCCATCGCCTCTGCGTAAGAGCGTGGGGTCGGGATGTTTGGTGCATCTGGGTCTCCCTCAGGGGCAACAAGCATGGACACGAGATGGGGCAAAGCGGCAGCAAAGCACTCAAACTCCTCCTGCCTGTCCTCAAGGACGTCCGTGCCAAGAGCACACTCACCCCTGACGGACGGAGGACAGACAGACTCAGACTCAGCAACTAGGCTAGCAGCGTAGTCTAGACGACAGCGAGCAGCAAAGTCGACAAGCTCAGCAACTAAGGCAGACGCAGCAGCAGACTCAAAGGAAGGGTCACTGACAACAGTAGCCAGGAGACGCGTGACAGTAGGACTGGTAGCACGAAGAGAGTCTGACCCTGGGTCAGCAAGAGCAGGAAGAGAGGAAGCAGGAGGAGATGGTAGTGGGACACGCTGTGGAGCAGTGGACGAACGAAGCGCCATCCGGTGAGTGCCTGGGACAGCAGGAAGACGCTGACGCTGGACTCGACTACTAGAGAGAGCAGTGCGGACAGGCGACTCAGGACGAGACTCAGGCGACATAGGACGAGACGCAGGCTCACGCCGCTCAGTAAGACCTCCAGTCGGACCAGTGTAAGGAGCAGGACCAGGGAGAGAGGAGGCAGACGGTAACGCCGACTGCAGCTGGACAGGTGGAGGACACGCTAAGGAGGGAGAAGGAAAAGGAGGAGGAAGCTGACCGAGAACCTGCTGAAGGAGCGGAACAAAGTACGGCCGAGACCGAGCAGCGACACCAGAGCCAGCAGGGACACCCGCACCAGGGTCTGCAGCACCAGCAGCAGCTCCAGCGCCCACGTCCTCATCACCAGCGGCAGCTCCAACGCCCGGGTCCTCAGCACCAGTAGCAGCTCCAACGCCCGGGTCCGCAGCACCAGCGACAGCTCTAACGCCTGGGTCCTCAGCACCAGCAGCAGCTCCAACGCCCGGGTCCTCAGCACCAGCAGCGACTCCAACGCCCGGGTCCTCAGCACCAGCAGTAGCTCCAACGCCCGGGTCCTCAGCACCAGCAGCAGCTCCAACGCCCGGGTCCTCAGCACCAGCACCAGCTCCAACAGCAGCGGGGTCCGTAACACGAGGCACGCCACTCCGAAGAGTGCAGGGCCGCTCGTACCACTCACGGATCCGCTCGCGGGAGGGGAGCTCCCGAACGGGAGAAGAAGCACTAGCACTAGTCCCAGTAGTACGTCCGGCTTGAGCGGTACCTCTCCGGAGGCTGCAGTACTCTAAGTACCACGCACGCAGCTGCTCCAAGGAGAGGGCTCCTCCAAGTGCAGGACTCCCAAGCCTAGTACCTCCAGACTCAGAACCCTCTGGACTCCGCAGCTAAGCACCACTAGGCTCCACACCCCCAAGCTCAGTACCCCTAGGCTCTACACCCCCAGGCTCCACACCCCCAGGCTCCACACCCCCAGGCTCCACACCCCCAGGCTCCACACCCCTAGGCTCAGCACCCCCAAGCTCAGCACCCCCAGCAGGACGAGAGTCGACAGCTACCTCAACAGGCTCAACCGGGTCTACCTGAGACACACCTGAGGGAGCGGCACCCTGAGGGGGGAGGGGGTCTACAACAGCAGCACCTGGTGCGAGGAAGAGAGGCGGGAGGGGGGGAGCGGGGCAGTGCGGTAGGGGAAGAGGCGGTAGTAGGGGACGGACTCGTCAAAAGTGACGTCCTGGGTGGGCAAGACTCGGCGCGAGGTGGCGTGGTAAAACTGCCAACCAGACGCGTCCGGGACAAAGCCGAGGAAGACGCAGGGAACAGCACGGGAGGAGAGCTTGTCCGCGGACGAATCGCGGACAAAAGCTCGAGACCCCCAGACCCGGAAACGTGACGCATCGCCAACCTCCCCCGTCCACAGCAGTGTGGGTGAGGTCTCTGGCAAGGAGACACGGGGCAAGAGGTTGAGCTGATGCGCAGCGTACCGGACCGCAAACGGCCACAGAAAGTGGGGGGCAGCCGCATGGATCAAGGAGGTACGGGCGACCCCCATTACCAGGCCAATGCGGCGCTCCGCAACCCCATTATGGTGTGGAGAAGCCGGAAGCGTGAACGACTGCTCAATGCCGTGCTTAGCACAGTAGGCTGCCAAGAGGTCGGAGGAGAACTCACCACCTGTGTCAGAGTGCAAGCGCAGGACAGGAAAGTCCGAGTGAAAACGCTCGCTGAGCTGGAGACGGGCTCTGCGGATCCAAGGGATCAAGACATCAGGGACCTCACCCTTGGTGCGCAAGGGGAAGACTGAGGTGTAGCGCAAGTAGTCATCAACAACTATCAGGAAGAACCTCTCCTGACCCTGACCACGGACGCAGGCTGGGCCCCACACGTCCATGTGGAGTGTCTGCAAGGGAGCAGTCGTCGGGGGGAACGAGGAGGAGTGAGGAGCGGCGCGCTGCCGTCCCTCGACTTAGGGGAGACAGGTAGGAGCAGGCGAGGGTGGGAGGGCAGGAAGGACCCTGGGCAGGCCAGAGACAAGGTACTGGGAGTGCATGGCACGAAGCCGCTGCACAGACGGGTGGCCAAGGCGGTGGTGCCAGAGGACAGTCTCGTGTGCCAAAGAGCGACACGAGCAGGGGGCGGACAGCTGACCTGACGCGGACGCGGACGCAGTCGCAGCAACTTGAGGGGAATCAGTAGTCAGTGTGTACAGGTCCGACCCCGGCTGCCGAGTGAAGGTAGCCAAGTGACGGCCCGTACGAGCACACGTGCAGTGTGTCACGCGCTCGTAGGCAGGGGTGAACTGGTGAACACCCCCGTCCTGGAGTGCACATCCTGCCACCAAGTTCGTAGAGAACGAGGGGAGGTGGAGACCTGACAGTGTGCCCGACGGGACCGCAGGGCAGGGAAGGACTGTGGAAGAGGTCGCAATGAGCGGACCCCCAGAGGGGTCAGCAAGGGAGATAGCAACTGGCCGAGCAAGCGGCTCAAGGGCAGTGCGGTCACGAAAGAAGCAGCGAGAAGCACCTGAGTCCAGTGTGAAAGTGTGCAGTGCAGCTGTCGACGCAGTACCAAGGGGGGGAGACACACGAGCACCTAGAGCAGCAGCCTCACCAGCACCTGGGGTAGCCGACACGCGAGAACCTGGAGCGGCAGACGCACTGGCCCTAATGCCCGGGTCGGGCGGCACACACAAGTACTCAGCACCCTCTCCACTAGTAGACATCACATACATGGCAGATAGAATAGCATCAAAGTCTAGAGCATAGATATCAATCCCCTTCTTCAGGAGATCAAGCCAGCGGGGCAGCTCAGTGGCCTGAGGGAACTGAACACGCCAAGCGTCGTCCAGACGAGAGAAGCAGCGCTGTGTGGTGTGCAGTCGTCCACACTGCTGACCAGTGCGGTCACCAGTGCGAATGACGTACGTGCAGCTAAGACCACCCCCACCCCCGTGCTGAGAGTACCACTCACGGACCTCCTGGGGCGAGGGAGTGTGCTGCTGGCCCTGGTCACCGCCTGTGCCTCCACGGCCACCACCACCGCTGCCACCTCCTTGACCACCCCAACCCCTGCCGCCGCCTCGTCCACCGCCAACCCAACCGCCGCCTCCACTCCTGCCACCTCCCCCGCCGCTGCTGCCACCACCCCCACCGCTACCACTCGCCCCTCCAGTCGAGCCACCACCCCCACTGCCTCCACCGCCCCCACCGCCTCCTCCCGCGCCGTCACTGCCACCACCCTTGCCCCCTTTGCCCTTGCCGCTGCGACGTCCGCTCAAGGCAGACGCAGCGCCGACCTTCTCAGTACCAAGAAGGTCGACAGCAGCAGCAGAGGCGACAGAGGGAAGGGAGGAAGGAGAGCACCCCTCAAAGAACGGGGTACGGGGGTCGCCACGAGAGGCACCTACAGCGACTATGCTAGTCTCAGCTGCAAGTAGCTCCTTCTCGAGGAGGGCAATGGTGAGCTCAGTGGGGCAACGAGCTAGGAAGTGGTCCCTGACAGCACGCAGTGTGTCAGGGAGGCGGGTGACTAGGTGGTAGAGAGTGAGCCAGAGTAGAGGGGGGTGCCTGGCAAGGAACTCAGCAGGCATGGTGGCACGGAAGCGGGCCTCACTAGTACGGAGGTGCATGATGAGGTTAGCGACTGTGTGAAAGGAGGCCAGGTCGGGAAACAGGTAGGGGAGGGAGAGACGGCCTAGTGCGGCAGAGGCAGGTGAGGAGTAGCGAGCAACTACAACTGTGTATAGTGCCTGTGCAGTCTTGTGCTGACCAAAGTGCTCACGTTCGTCTATCGGCAGGGAGCTGCGAATGGCGAAGCGAGCGTGGGCATCACGAGTCTGCCACTGTGAGCGAGCAGTGCTGTCAGCAGTAGCAGCACGGGCAGTGACATGGCCTAGGGCGTGATCGTACAGTGAGATGTCATCCTTGGCTGTGAGCTGTAGGTAGAGGTGCAGGTCATCGAGCCAGGTGTCAAACTTCACAGGGCGGCCCTCAGCATCGAACACGAGAACCTGTGGGCTAGCCATAAGAACAGTAGAAATAGCAGCAGTAGCAGTAGGAGAAGCAGGTAGGACGAACCAGGTAGGGCAGGGCGGCGCGGCTCGGTTCAGGTCGGGTCGCGGCTCGGCTGGGTGGCGCGGCTCGGCTCGGGGCGCGCGGCTCGGCTCGGGGCGCGTAGCTCAGGTCGCGCGGCTCGGGTCACGGCGGGGACGGGCCGCCCGGGGCCTCTAGGTGGTGGGCATGGGTCGGCGAGGTCGGCACGGGGCCCGTTGGGGCCCTAGAGGGGCGAGCGCGGGGCCGATCGGGGCCTGATCGGGGCTAGCGCGGGGCCAAACGGGGCCTTGACGGGGCTAGCAAGGGGCCGACAGGGCCTGAACGGGGCTAGCGCGGTGCCGACGGGGCCTGAAACGGGGCTGACGCGGGCCCGATTGGGGCCTGAGTGGGGCTAGCGCGGGGCCGACGGGGCCTGAGAGGGGCTAGCGCGGGGCCGACGGGGCCTGAAACGGGGCTAGCGCGGGCCGACGGGGCCTGAGAGGGGCTAGCGCGGGGCCGACGGGGCCTGAAACGGGGCCAACGGGGCCTGAAACGGGGCTAGCGCGGGTCGACGGGGCCTGAGAGGGGCTAGAGCGGGGCCGACGGGGCCTGAAACGGGGCCGACGAGGCCTGAAACGGGGCTAGCGCGGGGCCGACGGGGCATGAAACGGGGCCGACGGGGCCTGAACGGGGCTAGCGCGGGGCCTGAACGGGGCCTTAAAGGGGCCGACGAGGCCTGAACGAGGCCGCTAGGGAGAGCGGGCTTGGGGCCGACGGGGCCTGAACGGGGCTAGCGCGGGGCCGTCAAGAGGGGCCTCTAGGAGCGTGACACGCCAAGGCGCCCTAGAGCACAGGTAGGTAGGTAGGTAGGTAGTTACGTAGTGGTGGGCCCTTAGAAAATTTCGGTCCTAGGAAGGACCTGCTCTATACCATGTTGGAATCACTGAACAGGAATGTGTGAACTAGCAGTGAAATGAGTACAAATACCTAACCCTAGAATTGTGTACCCCCTATAGGCTAACCCACTGTAGCCTAAACTAACACAACATATATAATGTTTGACAACGACCGCTGCGTAGCCTGGTCGTCAGCCCAAGAAGCGTCTACGTGCCCAGTGAGGACCACTGGACTCTGCCCTCCAAGCACAAGCCCCATGCCCGACGTACTGCACAAGTAGCACAACACCCTCTTCGCTGCATCCATGTGCTCCGGTCTGTGTCTCCCAGGAGCAACATAGCGTGCGAGAATGCAAAGAGGATATGCAAGGTCAGGTCGTGTGCAGGTCATCAGGTACATGAGGCAGCCAACAAGCTCTGGGTACGGGCCACTCGACTCTACGGACTCATCCGAAGGCAGAGCTGAGAGCGAGTGGCGAGTAGGCAGAGGAGTGGCTTGAGGCGACGAGTACGTGAAGCCGAAGCGCTGAAGGACCTGCTGCACCATGTGTGACTGAGTCAGGGTAATGGTGCGGCGTACTCTGTCCCGGGTGATCTGCAAGCCAAGGTAGCTGCGCAGTTCACCCAGGTCAGTGCACGTGTGTCTCTTCTGCAGCTCGGACTTTACGTGGGCGAGTCCAGCAGTGTCAGCTGTGGCAAAGACCAAGTCGTCGACGTACACGAGGATGTAGAACGGCGGCAAAGAAGTGTCGGTGCGCAGAAACAGCAACGGGTCGGTAGTAGAGGGAGCAAACCCAAGAGCCGCAAGTGTAGTCCTCAGTGTGTCGTGCCACTCACGCGGTGCCTGGCGGAGACCGTAGACTGGCTACCGGAGGCTCCACTGGGTGCCAGGAGGAAAAGACCCAGTGAAGCCAGGTGGGCGGCGCAGCCAGATCTCCTCGTGCATGCTGCCCTGCAAGAAAGCAGTGCTGAAGTCAAGAGAGTGCAGCTCGTAGTCACGGTGAGCAGCTATGTGCAGCAGTACCCGAAGAGTGGTCATCTTCGGGGTGGGAGAGAAGGTCTGAAAGTAGTCAACTCGCTGCCGCTGACTAAAGCCACGAGCCACGTAACGCGCCTTGAAGACAGGCGGAGAACCCGGCGGCCGCTTCACCCTGAAAATCCACATGCCACTGACAATGTTTGCCCCAGGAGGGGGAACGTTGTCAACGTAGGTGCCTGTGGACTTCCATGAAGCCATCTCTGCGTCCATAGCTGCCTGCCACTGAGAGGAGTAGGGACCATCTATCGCCTCCGCGTAAGAGCGCGGAGTCAGGATGTCAAGTGCATCCGGGTCTCCCTCAGGGGTAAGCAGTACAGACATGAGATGAGGTGACGCAGCAGCCAAACTCTAGAAGTCCTCCTGCCTGTCCTCAAGGACGTCCGTGCGAAGGGCACACTCACCCCCGACGGACGGAGGAGAGACAGACTCAGACTCAGCAACAAGACTAGCAGCGTAGTCAAGACGACAGCGAGCAGCAAAGTCGACAAGCTCAGCAACTAGGGAAGACGCAGCAGTGGACTCAAAGGAAGGGTTAGTGACAACAGTAGCAAGGAGACGCGTGACAGTAGGACTGGTAGCACGAAGAGAGTCCGACTCATCAGTCGGTAAGTGCATGAAGAGAGGACTCAGGAGAAGAAGGCAAAGGGGCACGCAGAGGAGCAGTGGACAGACGCAGAGACATCCGGTGCGTGACATCTGGAGGACGCTAACGCAAACCACGACCACTAGCGCGAGCAGCACGGACAGGCGACGCAGGGCGAGATGCAGGCACACGACGCTCAGCAAGACCTCCAGTAGGACCAGTGTAGGGAGAAGGAGCAGGCAGTGGGGAGGCAGGCTGTAGTCGTAACTGCGACGGGACTGACTGTGGACACGCTAAGGGAGAAGGAAGACCAGTAGAAGGCGGGAGACCAAGAACCTACTCAAGGAGCGGAACGAAGTACGGCCTAGGCCGTGCAGCGACTCCAGACACAACAGGGACAGCACCAGTACCCCCAGTGGTAGCACCAGCACCAGCAGCTCCTCCAGCTCCAGTACCCCCAGCAGCTCCAGTTGCTCTAGGACCTGAAGCAACACCAATAGCACCCCCAGCAGGACCGCCTCCAGTACCGCCAGCAGCACCCTCAGCGCCAACACCCTCAGCAGCTCCAGCTCTAGTCAGACCACGAGAAGATGTAGTGGCTCCAGCTCCAGTAGTACCCGCAGGCCCAGCAGCTCCAGTACTCCCAGTACGAGCACCTCCGGGACCCGTGGCACCAGCACCCTCAGCAGCCGAAGAACCTCCAGCTCTAGTAGCATGCCTCCAGCGGCGGGCAAACCACTCACGCAGCTCCTGTGGTGAGAGTGGCTCCCATCAAGACGCAGCACCCGGAGAACCGCCAGGCCCAGCACCGCCAGACGCCACACGAGCAGGCCCAGCTCCCTCAGGCTCCGCACCCCCAGGCTCAGCACCTCCAGGCTCTGCACCCCCAGGCTCAGCCCCTCCAGTCGTAGCACCCCCAGGCTCAGCACCCCCAGGCGCAGCACCCCCAGTCGTAGCACCCCCAGGCTCAGCACCCCCAGACTCAACACCCCCAGGCTCAGCACCCCCCAATCGTAGCACCCTTTGACTCAACACTCCCAGGCTTAGCACCCCCAGGCTCAGCACCTCCAGCAGCACCAGAGTCACCAGCGACCTCGACAGGCTCGACTGCGTCTACCTGGGACACACCTGAAGGGGCAGGACCCTGAGGGGGAAGGGGGTCTACCGGGGGGGGACCTGGCACAAGGAAGAGCGGTGGCCGAGGGAGGGACGGAGTGCGGTAGGGGAAGAGATGGTAGTAGGGGACCGACTCGTCAAAGGTGACGTCCTAGGAGGACAAAACACGGCGAGAGGTGCGGTGGTAGAACTGCCACCCTGGCGCGTCAGGGGGGAAGCCAAGGAAGATGCAGGGAGCAGCACGAGGGGACAGCTTGTCCACAGACTAGTCGCGGACAAACGCCCGAGATCCCCAGACCCGGAACGCCGACGCATCGCCAACCTTCCCCGTCCACAGCAAAGCTGGGGAGGTCTCCGGCATGGAGGCCTTGGGCTGAAGGTTGATGTGATGCGCCGCGTACCGAACCGCAAACGGCCACAGAAATTGGGGGGCAGCCGCATGCATCATGGACGTACGGGCGACGTCCATGACCATGCCAATGCGGCGCTCAGCAATCCCATTTTGCTTTGGAGAGTCCGGAAGCGTGAATGTCTGGCGGATGCCTTGTGCACGACAGTAGGCTCGCAGAAGGCCAGAGGAGAACTCTCCGCCTCTGTCAGAGTGCAGACGCAGAACAGGAAAGTCCGAGCCAAAACTCTTCCTGAGCTGGAGACAAGCTGCGCGGATCCAGTCGATCAACACCTCAATGACATCACCTTTGCTACGCAAGGGGAAGACTATGGTGTAACGCGAGTAGTCGTCAACCACCAGCAGGAAGTAGCACTCGTGACCCTGTCCACGGACGCGGGCTGGGCCCCACACGTCCATGTGATGCGTCTGCAACGGGGCCTCTGTCGGAGGAAACTAGGAGGAGTGAGGGGCAGCACGCTGCCGCCCGTCGACACAGGGGACGCAGGTAGGGGCAGGCCCCGGAGGAAGGGGAGGGAGGGACCGGGGAAGACCAGAGACAAGGACACGGGAGGCCATGCCTCGGAGACAAGGCAGGGAGGGGTGACCAAGGCGGTGGTGCCAAAGGAGAGTCTCGTGAGACAGGAGGCGACACGAGCAGGGGGCAGACTCAGGACCACACCTGGACGCTGCAGCAAACACCTGACCCGATGCAGCTACTTGACAACACGCAGTGACTGGAGGAGACTCAGTGGTTAGTGTGTACAGGCTTGACCCCAGTCGACGTGTAAACGAAGTGTCGGCCCGTCCGAGCGTCCGTGAAGTAGGTCACCCGCTTGCTCGCAAGAGTGAACTAGTGAACTCCCGCATCCTGTAGGTCAGCACCACTCACCAAGTTTGTAGAGGACGAGGGGAGGTAAAGACCAGACAGGGTGCCAGAGGGGGCCGCCGGACACGGGAGGACAGTGGAGAAGTGAGCAAGGACAGGACCCCCGGAGGGGTCTGCCAGAGAGACTGCAACTGGCCGACTAAGCGGCGTGGGTGTGGTGCGGTCTCGAAAGAAGGAGCAAGAAGCCCCCGAGTCAAGGGTGAAGGTCTGGGACGCCGAAGCTGACGCGGTACTTGAGAGAGAAGACTCACCAGCACCTGAGGAAGCAGACGCACTAGCACCTAGAGCAGCAGCCTCGCTAGCACCTAGAGAAGCAGCCTCACCAGTACCTAGAGCAGCAGTCCCAATGCCCGGTTCGGGCAGAAAACACCAGTAACAGTCAACCTCATCACTAACAGTCACAGCATACATGGCAGCAAGAATAGTATCAAAGTCAAGGTCAAAGATAGCTACTCCCGCCCTAGACAGCTCGCCCCACCGAGGGATCTCAGTGGCCTCAAGGAACTGGTGACGCCAAGCGCCCGTCAGGCGGCCAAAGCAGCGCTGGGTGGAGTGCACACCCCCGCACTGCTCACCCGCGCGGTCGCCACTGCGTAGGACGTAGGGGCACGGACCAGTACCCCCACCCCGCTGGCGTGCAGCGTACCACAAACGAAGCTGCTGAGGGGGAGGGATCTCACGAGTGCGCTGCTGCTGCTGCTGCTACTGGCGCTGACCACCACCGGAGCCGACCCTCTGCACAGCGCCACCCTGACCAGCTCCACCTCCTCCGCCGCCGCCTCCTCCACCGCCGCCACCTCCGCCACCTTCGCTCCCACCGCCACCGCCGCCTCCACTGCCGCCACCGACACCTCCACCCCCGCCACCACCCCCACCACCACCCCCACCCCCTCCGCGGCCTCCACCGCCGCCTCCACCGCCCCCGCTAGCTCCTCCAGCGCCCCTGCCCCCCTTGCCCTTACCAGGGCGGCGTCTCCCGCTAGGGGTAGACGCCGCACCGACCGACTCAAGACCAACGAGGTCGACCGCAGCAGCAGAGGCAATAGAGGGCAAGAGAGGAGAGGGGGAGCACCCCTCAAAGACAGGGGCGCGAGGGTCACCACGAGAGGCTCCTACAACGACTATGCTCTTCTCTGCTGCTAGGAGGTGCTCCTCGAGGAGGTCAACGGTGAGGGTGGTGGGGCAAACAGAGAGAAAGTGGTCCTTGATTGGGCGAAGGGTGTTAGGGAGGTGGGTGACTATGTAGTAAAGGGTGATGTACATAGGGGGGGGTTCTTGGCGCAGAACTCAGCGGGGAGGGCAGCGCGGTAGCGAATCTCACTAGTGCGAAGGTGCGTAATGAGGTCAGCGACTGTGGGAAAAGCTGCGAGGTCAGGGAAGAGGTACGGCAAGATGAGGCGGCTAAGTGCAGTAGTGGCAGGGGAAAAGTAGCGTGCAACTACAGCGTCGTACATGGTCTTAGCACTCTTGTACTGGCTAAAGTGCGCACGCTCAGTGGTAGGCAAGTGGCGTCGCACAGCAAGACGTGCAGCAGCATCGCGTGTGGCCCACTGTGAGCGAACAGTGGCTTCAGCATCAGCAGTAGGGGCAGGAGAGGCACCAGAAGTGAGGTCAAAGAGGGAGAGGCCGTCTGCCCTATCGCACTGTAGGAAAAGCTGGAGGTCATCTACCCAGACGTCAAATTCAATGGCCCGACCCTCAGCGTCAAAAGCGAGAACACTGGGGGTAGCCATGACAGCAGTAGACTAGTAGCGCGAGCAGTAGGGTGGGGCGACGGAGCCGCGAGGGCGGCTCGAAGAGGTCGCGAGGGCGGCGCGAAGGGGCCGCGAGGGCGGTACAAAGGGGCTGCGAGGGCAGCGCGATGAGGCCGCTAAGGCGGCGCGACGGGGCCGCGAAGGCGGCGCGACTGGGCCACGAAGGCGGCGCAACGCGAGGGGGTCGCGAACGCGGCGCGACGGGGCCGCAAGGGCGGCGCGATGCGGCGGGGCTGTAAGGGCGGCGCGAGAGGGCCACTAGGGGCCGAGAGAGAGGGAAGCGCGACTCGGGCAGGGGCTGAGTGCGCTCTGGGCAGGAAAAAAAAAACGGTGGGCCCTAGGAACAGTTCCCACGAGGGAACCTGCTCGATACCATGAGAAAACTGAAACGAGAATGAAATGACTAAGGGAAAGTTGGGTACAAGTACAAACCCTAGAAAGTTGTTCCCCATATGTGCTACAGTAGCTATGTCATATAGCCTACAGTATAGCCTACAGTAGCTATGCCATATAAATCTGACAATCAAGCCAAATTCAGGAGCAGTTTAACAACCGTTTTCAATGACAGCAAGGCAAAGACCTGGACGACAGTTAGACAACTGCCTTGTGTGTTTCCTTTGTGTGCTTAGGATCTGAGATATATGTGTGCTTGTATTTGCTTTCTACATAACAATGCTCTTATGATTTTCAAGCTTACCATCTACTACTACGTATTGACGAGAGTAGATACACAACGAACTTCTGCCGAAACTCTGCTCAACCAGAACACTCATTCTACAAGCTAAGCGTGGCATAACTACTCACTTGATTCACAAGTGATGTTAAGTGTTGCCTAGTTTATGTTTGTGGCACTGAGTTAATCGCTTCCGCATAGTACTTAGACTTAACACGATGTTGTACATTTCAGTCTCGTAAGTTCAATCGAATCGAACTTTTACAGCGTCCTAAATCAGAATCGCACGAGGGCGTTTCCCTGACTGTGCACAGAGATTTGGCACGTCACTTTGCCCGCGTGCCGGCTCATCCTGACTGGACGCGCAACAAGTGAAGCCTTCGAAAGTCTAACACATTGAAAATGGGTGTTGACTCATTTGAAAATCGAAATTCGTTACCATTCTCAATTGCATTTTTTTTTTTTGTAAAATCCACACTTCTCTAGTATGTAAGGGGGTCTTATAATGTTAGGAGTCATTTAGGGGGTATAACTCAGATGTACTCGAATAGAGTACCCGGGTCCGTATTATAGACCCGGGGGTCTACAACTTGGGGGGGGTCCTTTATACGGGGGATTACGGTAACAAGGGCATACATGTGTTTGTATGGTAACACAAAGGGAATTCAAAACAACCTAGACTGGCGATGTACTCTTAGGGGTACATTCCAGGGTCCTAGATATAAGACTTTTTAGTCTGATTCAGAGTCTGTTCAGACTTTTTTTTGGTACCTAGTCTGAAGTCTAAGAATTTTCTTGATGTACCTTGTCTGGTTTTTCAGAGTTTTTTTTTATGAGTTGTCTGAACTTTCTGTCAAATTTTATTAGTGTAGGCAGAGCCTCGGACTTGTATCGGGGGTGCACTCTGAAATCGATAATACAAGGGTTTCCGCCTGCCTGGCGAAGTGTAGCACTAACACTGTCAATCAAGGGCGGGAAACCAAATTATCCCGAGCACGGCACAGCATAGTTGCGTTGGTATGTTGTAATCAGCTTCAATGATATTATAACTATGCTTTATGAAACTGCATGATCATCTTAAAATTTGAAGGTAACTGTGACAGTTCAGACAAAAAGGGTTGTGCTTGTCTTAATTTCCATACTATAATGTTGAGGCACCTCTGACAGACAGAGTTCCAGGAAAGGTGTACACTGATCGGTCAGAGTGCCTCAAAATGAATCTAGGGGCCTGGTATATTCCCTTATTGTAGATAGACTCAACCGTGCGAAGCAGTAACCGTCTTCAAACATGTTCTCGCGAAATATTTCGTGCTGCAACTACCCGATGCTTCTGCTCCGACGGTCCAGATGTTTCCAACCATACACGTGTCGGAACCTCCCCACCTCCCTGCCGCCTGTTCTGTCAGACTCCAGTCCTTGCTGCTCTCTCCTCCCTTACCTCCCCGTCCTGGACTCGCTGGATCTCACCCCTCTGGCCCCACCCCCTTTACCAGGCACCTCTCTTGCCCTCGTCGGTCTTACTGTTTGTCCTCCTCCTGTGACCTCTGCCTATACTCTCTCTTCCCCTCTCCCTCTTGTCTGTTACTGCTTCTGGTACTGAACTCACTCTAAGATAAGCCCCTGGCTTCTTCACATAACACCTTCTGCGAATCGCTTTATTCCATCCTAGCTTGCAATATCTCCTTCTCCTCACTACTTGCTCGACTAGGTGCAAGAATATCGTGTTCAAATGAAACATACTAGCATTGAGGATAGCTACCACAAGGTACCTCCTATCTACCAGATCGGCCTCCGCCTCGCTCATCCTGCCTACCCTTGCCTGTCCTCGGAGGCTAACGCGACTTTGGAACAGACTAGCAACCATCCTGCCAACTGCCTCTGCTGCCCGCCCCTGCTTCTTTCCCTCCAGCTGTCACTGTGCTGTTCCAGCTGGCTCCTTGGAGCACACCTGCACACATACAAAAGCAAACACACATGCATGCGAGCACCCATCCGAGCTGACGTGGTAACCTGCTGGCCCTGCCGCTGCCAAGCGCTGTAGTTTCACCCCTTGCCCTCCTCCCACTTACGTAAGTCTCGCCCTGTTTACTCCCCATGTCTTTCCCCAACCTTTCGCTTCAGCAGACGTCACCCTCCCGCGCACCCACTTGTCTCCCAGAAATCCTCAATCCTCACCTTGACCATTCGCATCCCATCCTCGGCACTGCCCTCCTCGCTATATACAGTATGTACAATTTGTACACCTCCCGCACTCTCCTCCCTACCCCGCTCACATTCACATAAATGTGACACACGACATTTCGCGTAAATCTGTCCTTTCATATCCGTACTCGCTGCTACACACTTCACTTTCTACTGATAGGGATGCACAGTACTTCTCGTTTCATTTCTCTTAACAACCCCCTTCATTCCTGGCCGTAGCAAGTCTCGACTCCCTTGATCACTCCGCTGAGTTCGGAATAGTGGTGGTATTGTTGACGAGGCAATCGCTTCGTGAGGAATTCGGCTGCCATGCCACCGATTGGGCAATAGGTCAAATCGACATTGCCCTAGTCAACTTCGTCCTTGATGAAGAAATAATACAGCGTGATCTAATTGGTGCGACTGATGAATCCCGGTTTGTTCGTGATCCTGAGTGTGCTCTGGTTGTTGCAATGCAAGCAAAAGGTCGTCGAAGTTGGAAGTTTTGCCGCCTGCAGGAGCTCCTGTATGTAGAGCCCTTTCGCGAAGTGCTGCCGTCGCAGCGATGAATTATGCTTCCGCAGTCACAAGGAAATCAGTTCCTGCTTCTGCGAGTTCCATGATACGGGGTCTGGCTCGAGTCGGAACAGAAACCCGGTCCTCTCGATTGTCGGGATAAGCAGCATGATCAGCATCCAAGTAGCCGATGAGGTTGAATGAGAGAGTGGTGACTCTGGAGAAGCACAACTTAATGTAGAGCGTGGAGGATGACGAATTGCAAAGCGCGCTGAAGGTCTAGGAGATTTTCAGCCGTTGGCTTACAAGAGTACTGAGCCGGCTGGCTCGCGATGTAGGAGAGATCTGGCATGCAGGTCACTGATGCAAAGAGCAGGCATCCCAGCTGCTCCTGGTAGGTGTCCAGTCCTGCAGGGGATATGGCTTTGTTGTCAGTTTTGTGTTTCGGTCCAGGCGTGCGGTAGGGAGTTGAGAGTGGTGCGAGGTAGATATTAAACTGCTTTCCAATTGTTTCAGAGTTGACGAGTGAATAGCTTTAGGGGCGTAAGAAATATTAAGGCCCACGAACTGCAGAGGGCCCAATCCGTGGGTCTCATGATCAAGTTAGGAGAGGCAGCGGCTGCAGAGAGCCCGCCTGTAGGAGGGATAGGGCAGGAATTGTACCTTGGGGACTGCTTTACCGTCCTTGAGCCTCTCCTTGAGCTCTAGGTGACTTAGTGGGGTTGGATAGTCTAGGTTACCTTGCGTGTTAGTACCTGCTGTCTCTCATTGCATGTGTGTACCCTTCTGGCCTATCAATATACGGACCATTAGAGAGAGAGAGAGAGAGAGAGAGAGAGATCCACACATATGTCAGCTGAAGAAATTCCTTTACAGGATTAAGCAAGCGCCAAGGCTCCGGCAGCAGACCAAACCCAATCCGTTACAGTAGCTTTGTCTTCATGGGTAGCATAGCTGCGCCCGTCATTTGCGTAAACCTGGTTTGCTCCTGCTTGCTCGTCTGAGAGGAACTGCGCAAGGTTGAGTCGCTTGTAGAAGATGATGTCGCGCATGTGCGTGACTTCATTGCTGGGCAAGTCTAGGAGGATCCAGACGTTGTATTTGTAGCTGATGCTGAGGTGAATGCCCAAGCGCGCACGGCTTGTGAACTTCCCCATGGTTGAGGTGGAGTGCCGGTACTGCACCATACAGTTCCATACACGGGGCATGGAGGTGTCGCCCTTCTTGCCGGTCCACTTCACGTGCGGCGGCAGATTGCTAGTGATGGCTGTGGTGGAGAGCAGATTTTGCACCCGTGCGTCGTGCTGCATAGCGTACAGCCAGTAGCTTTGACTGTTTCAGTAGCGCGCACCTTTGTCATGAGCGTGCGGTTGGTGCGCTCAGCGACTCCCTGCTGCGGATGCGCTTTGGGGAAGTGAGATGTGGTGCGATATCCCCTTTTGCCCCAGGTAG